CTTTATCAACTAACAACTGTTTTCGCTGGTTCCATACTGAAGATCAGATGGCCGGCCGGGCCGGAAAGAATCACAAACAACAAGAAACTATGGGAACAAACAAACGACACAAGAACCAATCGCCAACCAACAAATATGCAGGAGAAAGTGGAGATGGATCGGTCACTCGCTCGCTGAGGAGACCGCTGGGTGACATTGCGCGCGCGTCAGGCCATTGCTCGAGTGGAACCAGGCCGAAAGGGAAGCACGTGGCGAGTGGGACGTCAGTGCAAGGGTGATATGGAGGAGATCGTGTGAAGAGGAGTTGAAACGGTATGGACTAACAAGGATGCAGGCGAAAAGTACAGCAGAAGGAAGAGAGAAGCAAGTGGAAACGTGCAGTTGAAACCCTATGTTCCACAAGGAATCCAAGGGAGCAATAATATTTGTTCTAGAATTTCTTAATGTCATGTACTCCTCTGGGTAGATCCATTAAAGAAACTATTCACTGACAAACTGTGTCTAATATGTTTGATTTCGTTTTGTAGATTTGCTTTTTCGTCGGTTTGTTCAGTTAAACTAAAGAATAAAACTATTGGAAAACATCACATGTAATACATTGCATAATGTCACACACTATGGCAAGACGAAATGTGACAGTTGAAGTAGAGGTGTGGTGAGAGCAGCCTGCTAGCCAATTGGTTGACATTAATCTACGTCAATGTCTAGGTCACTAATATGGGCCGTGAGTAGATATGAACAAGGCTGTTTCAACAACCAATCACAGCAAACTTAAACGTGGCTAAATATGATTTGCAGGTATATGGCTCCACATTCCGAGGAACTCGAAAACAACCAATCATAAGACTGCGTTTGTCTACTTGACTAGGCTATAATAATGTATGTGAAATTTATATAAATACGTGTTGATTTCCCTAATAAAACGATCTGTTGCCTGGCCCTTGTCTTCCGTTGTTGCAGAAGGACATACTTCATTCTATTTGGAACTCATTAACTGACTGCACTTACACTCCCAGTGAGTAATGAGTTTCCCACTAGCAATCAAACCAGCACCCATCCTTCCGAAACCCACAGAGTTACCTGCTAGAGTAACTGGGCACATAGGCCACCACTCGCACAAATAGAATCTGTTGTAACTTGTTGGAATTATTTTTTGTTATCACACTAATACTAACGGAAAGCAAGTATTTCGATTCAATATGATGATTCACTCAGTAGAAAATTCAGAATAACCGTCTTACCATCCTTAAACACTGCATTTTTAAAACTCAAAAACACTGCAATTTGTGAATTCTAGAATTTTTTTAGTTAAACTAATCCGGAACAATTGATCTCCTCTTGGATTTTTGGTCTTCCCTAGGATGTTTTCATGGTGCTTTTATTATCTTTTTTTATTTTCTTATCTTTTCTATTACAGCTTGATTCCACACAATACTTTTTGGTAGAATTATGAAATTTTCATCATGTGATATCGGTAGCCCAAATTTTGCTGGCCGACCATAGATATCAGGTTTGCGCCGGAAGGGGATAGAACCCAGACCATGTCCATGGTCGGCGAAAGTCCTAACCACTGTGCCACCGACGCGCAAAATCTCGACTCCGAGGGGTCTATTAATTAGTGTTAGACTTTCCAATTAACTTGATTTGATACCAGCCGAACAAAATGCGACCATACTTTGACGTCCGATTATCAAGTCCCGGCCTCAATAGAAACACCAACACTAGCTCGGAGGCAGGTACATCCTGCTGATAATTCCTAGATGGGTCCAGTAACTCATTCTAAATGTCCTCGTTAGCTTATATTCATCAGATCACTTGTAACAATTATCTTCTTATGGGTACTCTGTGTATAGTGATTTTGTATTGTCATCCGAAATGCACCACTAATGTTTGACTGTATTGAAATCCATTCGAGAAAATAGTGCAGCCTAGTTAGTTTCAAATTCATCTTCACAATGATTTCTTATCAGCCACTCATCGGTTCTTAGTGTTTAGATGACACTCAAAGTCGAACCAGCACACAAAGACTTCATGGCTTGATGCCACATTTGATTTGTCCACTCGCAACTCTTCTCCATATTAATCCTATGAGACCTAATATTGTTTAACGAGGAAGACAATGGCTTGGCATGCGAAACATATCTCCGAGTCATCTCAGTCAATCCATCTGCAGAACTTCCTAGAAGGATTTTCCCTCCTTGTCTAACAATCTATGCCTAATGTCGGTACTACCTATCACATTATGCCACTTAACATGGGAGACAGAACGCTAATTCTCAAGGTAAAACACGGTTGGCCTCTTTTCAGTGAGTTATATCACGTATGTTATAAAGAATTTCAATAGGTTTGTTGAATTCTCATTGATGTTTATGAATTTGTTTATTCTCTATAAAACTGACAAGTCAGTCTAAGAGTACGTGACTTCCCTTTACTATTATGTTGAAGCGAATAAACTACTTATATACAAAATAACAATGGTCAAACAGCGTTTTCAGTAAACAATTCACATCCTACAATCCAGTTATCTACGCAATAATATGCCTGCTTGTGTCACGTTTAACAGCCGCATATCTAGACTGTCCGCATTATTGTAATGACATATGGTTTCTACAAAAACAAGTGTAGTCTAATTCTGTTAGGTATTCTACTAATTATAGTAGAAGTGATAGTAGTAAGAAGATTGAATACTGAAGAAATTTTGTGTTTAATACATTTGTATAATGGGGGATGAGCGAAAGTCAAATGAGAATCTTTCAGGATTCGGACTATTGGCTTCCGAATCACCTATAGGGTATCGTAGGTCACCTGGTAAAGTGCCAAACTAGTCATTTAGAGACAGCTGGTTAGAATCCTGTCGCAATCTAAATTTTCATTTCACCTACAATCACCGCCAATCAAATTAATAAGAATCTGTTAACTCGACTGCTTCAGATAGTCTCATCATCTGTACTAGGTGAAAGAAAATGCAGAAGAATACTTTGCTCAAACTTAAATGGTTTGTAATCATGCTTCCTTGACCTTTTCTAAATTATCCCGGGAATTTAGAAAAAACTTTAATGCGTCAGCACCACTTTGTGTAAAAACCAAAAGAACAGAAAATTAGGGTGATAAAGAAACTCTATCTGTTCTTTTGGTTCTTGTACATAAACGTTGCTTTATTCACTAAAGCTGTCACCTCGACAATAGACTTCGCCTAGTTTACTTTTAGACGAGTCTTCTAGCCGGTAATAACCTAGAAAATCAGTCTGATAGCTGCAAAATATTGAAACCACAGAAAAATACAAAACACGAACCCATTATATGATGCAATTGAAGAGACAAAACGTTATGGGCTAGTGAAAGACTTCAAAAAGTCAGTCAGACTATGCATCTTCGTCCGATAGAAGCAAGCTTTGCCGTCACTATGTTTCAAGTTGACAAGGCTGCTCAAACTTCGTGAGAAATGAGAATATATGGTGAGGAAGTGTTAGAAATTCGTGAGGGTAGATGGAGTAGAAGTGGACTCTCAAAACTCCTAACTGAAGAGTCAGTCATTTTATTCCCACCATCCATGTGTCAACAGCGGGAACGCAGAAGGTGTAGCCATCATGATGTTTGTCACAAACAACATTGCAAGTGGTGATGCAGTGAGAAGGAATCTCGTCGAGACTAGTGATAGTGAGATTCAATTCAAAGTGAAGGAGAGTTTCATGTGTGCATTGCTGTGCTCCTACAAACAACACGAGTTTGTTGGAGGAGAAGAAGACGACAAAGACGAAGAAGGGGAAGGAGAATGAGGAGAGGAAGAAGAAGAAGAATGACTTCTGGTTGCAAGTGACTGCGAATGGTGATTGCTAATGCCGTAACCTATTGGTGGACGATATGAATGTGAATCATAGTGGGGGCAGAGGACATGGGAGGAGTGTTGTTGTCATTGTGGAAGACACCGTCATTGAAATTTATTGGGAGTAAGTTTTTCTTGGAGACTTTTGTTCATTTGATGACTGAGAGAGTGAAGGCAGCTTTCACGAGCAAGAGGATATCCATAAGGGATATGGGTTTCAGCATAAGGAAACAGGAGAAATTACACAGATTTTATCTCACTCTCAAGAAAATGTAAATGCGAGATAAGAGAAAAGTAATGGGTCAGTCAGAAACTGATTTCCCAACTAGTATGCAGAAGGAAATGAAATACTATCGGACATAATCTGATTTCTCTACTTAGTGACACCACATATCAAAAATGTTTTGGAGTTTAGCCTGAGATAAATTCAGAGATGAATCTAAATCTTATGAGCAGTTGTGCAGCCAGGTGGAAGTTACAGGATGGCACCATGTGGAATGGAGATATGCTTCTTTGTTCCTTTTGGATTCAAAAGTGAGAACAATAATAATTTTAACTGACTGAAGACCATGTTTAGAATTAACCTCATAAGCTCATTTAAAAACAAATTTCCTTCGCTGATATATAAGCGAACAGTTTTAAGTTTATCTAACTGTATAAAGCACTTTTAATGCCGAATACCCTTAGAGCAGTTAAACCATCAAGAATGAATAAAATCTTTAGCTGGGGGGGGGGACAGCAATAAAACTTCAAAAACACTAAAGCAAATTTGTCTGTCGTCTGTTATACACTGACATGCACCTATAGAATGATCTATGGCAAACAGAATTATTTGAAGATAATTGTAACCGTTGCTGAAGTCAGTCTTGTCATTATGAATTATGTTCAAAACGTTATGTACAAAATCGTGATATATCTGATAAAAACGGGTTAATTTGAGTTCAGTGAGTGTTTGTGATGAGTTCAAGGGAAAAATAACTTTAACACCCACACGTCAATCATGATTGGTTGAATGAGGTTAACCAATAAAACACTAAATGATTATTGGATGATTCACTCAGCATACTAATCCAAGCCTATTTAACCTAAAAAAAATAATAATTAGTGTACATATAAATACACATTTATAAATTTGAATGTTACAAAAAACTAATAATCCTAAATTCCCCTCACAGAAATGAAATGTTTTTCCAGTGTATTTTCACAAAGTTCTCTGGTACCATTAGCTAAAATAGCCAATGCACCGTCACGTTCATTACGTTTACTATGGGCTACTGTAACAGCAATAATGTTTATCGGTCTATGCGTTTGTATCAGTCTAGTTGTTATGCAATACCTAAAACATCAAACAGTATTTCAGTTAGATTATTCCGGCCGACATACAGTATATGATCAAGTCCCTGGGATAACCATTTGCCCACAATCACAAGAATCAAAACGTCTATTTACCGATGCAATGAAACGTTTCAATATTGCTTCACAACCTCAACCACTACCGTGGTTTAGTAAGACTGTTATGGATCAGTTTCGGGCAAAAGCCTTAGAAATTCGGCCGGATTTAAAATTCAGTGTTATTGTAAATCGTTTACCTAAAGGTGATTTATTATGGAATACATCAAATACTGCAATTTCACCGATATATAGAATGTTGTTAAATTTTAGTGTTGAATTTCAAATTCAACCATCACATTTATCTGATAGCTACCGACTAACTGTTATGGAACAAGTGAGTTCACTGATATTTTTTATTCACTAACCTTGTTTTGTTTATGCAGGAGTAGAATTTTTACAATCTAGTACAGTACAGTTTTATGTTAGATAAACCCAACACAGAATGATCATACAGTATTGCTAAATGAATGACATTCAGGGCGTAATTTATCACTTATAATCATATCAAAGCATTAGCACAACTCCTTAACTTGCTCTATGCAACCTCACTACCCGTCTGTAATTTAATGCAGTATACTGACATAATTACTGACACTATATGATCACTGCATGTCGGTAGCACAGTGGTTAGGACTCTTGTTGACCATGAACATCGTCCGGGGTTCAATCTCCTGCCAATGCTCACCTGATATCTATGGTCGGCCTGAAAAATTGTGCAACCAATATCGCATGCTGAAAATTCCATACTTGTACCAAAAACACGGCGTGGAATCAAGCTATAATTAAAAATAAAATTAATTTGTTTTTACTGCTGTACCATAATGAAATATTTCATCATGACACTATTTAGACTTTATTAATTCTGAAACTACCTGGGATACCTGCGTTAACTGTGATTTGACGATGACCGGGTTTGGAGTTAGATTTCGTCGCTCCCTTGATGGTGCTGCCTTGAGTTAGTAGTCTGTAGGCTTGTAATTATGTGTTTCATGGGACCCAGACTTACGTTACATCTTTTACCATCACCAGTTAGGGCGACAGAAATAAAAATTGAAGTGTTGACAGGAGGCTTATTGTCAATCTATGGAAATAATTGACTATTAAACATGAAGTTGCACCTGACTGGATGTGACTGGTTTTCCCATTCAGTATTACAGTGTTATAAAAAGTTGAAATAATAATTCATGCTCCTTGAGCAGTTTAAGCTCATGATACTACCTGTATTAGTCTGAGACTTTATCGCCGAAAATGTCAAATCATAGTCATTTCACTGTAAGGGTGAATCGAGAAGATGAATCAGTTTACAGCTCTTTTTCCGGTCACATTTATGGGTGAAAATATTTTATTAAGACATATTTGTATAATTGATATAAGAATGAAGCTTGTGCACTGTGGTAGAGTGTAATCCCATTATGGGTAAAATTCATTTTGATAAAGTCACACACTGCTTATTATACAGTAATATCTACTGATGACGTTTTGAGCACAATTTATTGCTGATAATCATATCACAATCATATCATCTTGATATGATAATGAGCAATAAATTGTGCTCGAAATGTCATCAGTAGATATTACTGTATAATAAGCACTGTGTGACTTTATCAAAATAAATTTTACCCATAATGGAATATTTGCATAAGTTAAAAGAATTATATAGGTTGATGCTGGCACTTTGAACACTTGACTGTCTTACTTCACTTTATCAAAAACTATTGATTACCACTTGAACTTAGTTGTTTAGCTGTGGATTTCAATAGCCTCCAAATCGACATTTTTGTTGTATTTGCCAATGGTCGGCTGAATGTATTAGAGCACGTGGTTAGTGATGATGTTCTTAATGTGACTAGAAACCAGCATTCATCCTGATATAATGCCTCTGTCAGGACACCAAGTAACATTATGTCAACCATAAGACATTGTCAGACTGTGTGTACTAGGGTTCATCATGTCAACAAAGATCGAATATAGTAAACAAAAAATTAATCAGTGGAAAAATAAAAATTACAATTTTAACAAGTTATAATAAGAACCAACAGTTCGGTGAGGAATCGCTTTTCACCCAATCCAAACACTCAACTGTACAATCACAATCATATAGAAACTAGTTTTGTATATGCGTGTACAAAACACAAGAATAAAAATTAATTCGGACCGTTGTTTACATTACCAAAATATTTCAAAACACTGACAAATAATCAAATTGTAATTTGGATGGGGTGGAGGGTGGAGGTTAGTAGGCTTAGACTAAGGTTGTGTAATATGGAAAATGTTCAGGAAGACTGGGTATTAACGAAAGATCAGGAAAAGAGGCGAATATCAAATTAAACTATGTAGGAGGTGAACTGAGTGAACAAAGTCTTGTTGAGAAAATGATTGTAATAAATGTCATAAGAAAAGTTTACAAAGTAGTATTGACGAAAAAAACATTGATGACATTCGAATTTGGAATTATATCAAAATTAAATTAGTGTAAATGAAGTCTGCGTGGAGTGGCAGGTAGAGAAACGGAATGGAGAAGTTTCTTCTGTGTACATAAATCGAGGCTTTCCAACTCAATTGATAAGGATTTGTCAATGCGAATTAGAGGGAAGTAAACTGTTTTCGGGAGGCTTCTTTTGACTTTGTAGACGTCTTCGAATAAATTTTTACAGTGTACTGAGTAGCGAGTGATGAAGATATGTGCAGTCGTAGTATTTCATTTTTGGTGCATTGCGACCTTTCTACATCCCAGCAGGATAATGTCTCACGACTCTTTTAGGTAAAACTTGTGTCTAACGATGAATATATCTCACTCAACGGGAGCAAGTGAGCTGGCAAATACACATAAAATTAGTCGCACCCGATAGTCTGTCTTGAAAGTTATTGGTGAATATTGGGCGGCAAGAAAGTATCAGTCGTCATGTAGACGCGGAAAATTTTCTTTTCAGGGTGTTTGATATTCTCTTGTTTAGAATGTCAGCTACACCAGTGTATAGTATCTTCTTTGGCACAAAGATTTGGTTTATCGCTGCATTTGGGTTTTTTATGTTTATTTCCGAAGCATGTTTTACCTAAAAGAGTCGTGAGACATTATCCTGCTGGGATGCAGAAAGGTCGCAATGCACCAAAAATGAAATACTACGACTGCACATATCTTCATCACTCGCTACTCAGTACACTGTAAAAATTTATTCGAAGACGTCTACAAAGTCAAAAGAAGCCTCCCGAAAACAGTTTACTTCCCTCTAATTCGCATTGACAAATCCTTATCAATTGAGTTGGAAAGCCTCGATTTACGTACACAGAAGAAACTTCTCCATTCCGTTTCTCTACCTGCCACTCCACGCAGACTTCATTTACACTAATTTAATTTTGATATAATTCCAAATTCGAATGTCATCAATGTTTTTTTCGTCAATACTACTTTGTAAACTTTTCTTATGACATTTATTACAATCATTTTCTCAACAAAACTTTATTCACAATGGCTACTGTGGAGCAGGTTATATTGGCTGTTGCTCCAGGAACTTACCAGTGTGGTGTTGTTAAACTATCAGCAGACCTATATTGAATCATCTCATGCAAACAGGCCACAAAGTTAGCATTGAAGAATCTTTCTTCAGCATCTATCAGATATTGAATAAATTACTAAATGCTTCTAAATACTGAACACTGCAAACTGTAGAGGTCATTGGAACCCAGAGCTGGAGCTCTGTGTGCAAAGGAAGTAGGCTCAGTCACTGTCACTACCCTGGCCTGCTTTCGAACCTATAAATTCGTACAATCTGTGTTACTTCTCTTAATTTGTCTGATAGTCAATCGATTAAGTGTCACAGTGATGCATAGTATCGCTCTTACTGATGCTTTTGAAATGTAATCTGTCGATAAGATCAATTTATTATTATTACTGTCATGTAAGTGTAGAACGTGATGAGGAATTTATCGAAAAGAATATTCATCGTTCACTAATTAGTATGGAAATTCAACCTGACTCAGCATATTTGAAGTATACCTTTTCTTTTAATTTTTTCAACGTACAAACATCTGAATTAGTGCTGGACTTAAGGTTACTTAAGATCACTAAACAAAGATTCCGTCACCTTCCTTACCATCAGTTAATTGCGCTTAATCATGCACGTGACGACCATCAAAGAGACTTGGTCTTCTGTGTTTTTCTTTCTTCTGTCATCTATGTAACCTTTCCAATGATGTACTTTCCGAATCCATTTGCGGTCTCATAAATTGGAGGATTAGTTTAAATAGTAAAAGGATTCTCCCAGCCGTTTTGACCTCTGTCATTATTTTAGAACTGAGAAAACTTTCTATAAAGGTAAAATAAATTTCACTGATTACCTTGTTTTAATTACGAAATTTTATAGAGTCCGAATTTGCAAACTTATTAAATCTTAGAAAAAAATTTATTATCTTAACCAACTTTAAAAATTTCTGCATATGTTGTTAATTCTGTATAACTTCAAGATTTGAAAGTGTTTTTGTATTACAAGCTGTAAAACTGTTTGTACATCAAATTTTAGATTGAAACTCACTCAGATATTCGGTGATACCACTCACTAATACTAAGCAGTCAGATGTATCACTTATTATCAGCCCTCCAAATAAATTATGCTAGGCCTAGCAGAACACAAATCCAGGACACATTTATCGAATGCGAACTAGTTTTTTTTTGTCCATCACGTTCCCAGTGGAACATAGGGCTCCAAGCTAGTGGCTTGAAGTTTCTTGTAGCAGTGTTTAATTTTACAGGATGAGGTTGCTAGCCTCATGCCCAACCTTTCCTCTCTACCAGCATTATTTCTGGCTTAGCGAGGTAAAGGAGTGCGTATGTGGCCGGGGATCGAACCCCGGATCATGTGCATGGTTGGCAAGCGTTCTAACCGCTATACCACCGACGCAATGCGAACTAGTACTAGACATATATCTTACTAATATAGCCGATACAAGCCAGTGATATTATTTTTATTTATTTGTTCTTTATTCATTTATGTTTCCAGTGGAACATTGAGCTTCAAGCTACAGCTTTAAAGTTTCGGTAGCAGTGGGGTTTGTTTTTACGGGATGGGGTTGCTAGCCTCATGCCCAACCTTCTGTCTTTACCTGTCTTATTACTGGCTTAGAGGGGTAAAGGAGTGCAACAGCCGGGGATTTATACCTAAACCACCTGTGTGGTTGGTGAGCATTCTACCGTTGTGCCACCAACGCCTAACCAGTGATAGGAAGACATTAAACCTAATTGTAGCAGTCAAACTATACTAATTTTTTTATTATAGCTTGATTCCACGCAGTATTTTTGGTACGATTATGGAATTTTTAGCATGCGATATCGTTAGTCCA